AAAGGCAGCTGAATGATTGTGGGTGGCTGGTAAGCTAAAGCTGATAGTTGAAAACCAACCAAAATTCAGTATATCTCCAGGTCTCTCACTGAAAATGGCATGTTCAATGAAAGTGGGCAGACTCTTAAACTCTTCATCTACTCTGAAGCGTGGTTTGCTAGGTCTTCTCAGAGAATAGTCTGCCTCCAGATTCAGAGACTAGGGTTTGGACGTGATGGAAGAGAGTGCAATGATAAGGCTTTTCTTTCTACTTGAATATAATCAGAAACCTGTGACTTGTTTTCTGCCGTAGCAATCTTTGCCTTCTGTGACTGAAGCGAATATCGAGCAAGGGGGCTTGTAAGAAACAGGATTTCCATTCCTTGAACAAATTTAAAATACTTTCTCAGTTTAGATTTCATCTCTTTCCAGTCCCTCAAAACATTTGCGCATGACAGCATTGTGCAAGTTGTGTTCCATGAGCTTTCTCCCAGCTCCAGAGGAACCAGTGTTAAGAATAAAAGTGTATTACTTGTTCTTGAGCTCTTCCTGATCCAGTTTCCTATTTTGTGAGACTAAAAGGTGCTAACTGGTACCCATCATGTTTGTGCTAACTGCAAACAGTTGTGCTCACCTCCCACCCAATCAAGTGATGCCTTTCTTAAACCTGTTTTCTCTGTGTGCAAGCTGCTTTATTGACAAAATCTTTTCAATTTTATAATACAGGACTGTGCATAGGTAGGGGTTTTCAGGCTTTGGTCTCTTCTCTGTAGCAGAAGCAGAGATCTTGACGTGAAAAATTTGCTGCTAGCAGTTCTGTGATTTTTGGAAGACTGTTGGATGGGGTGGGATCTTGTAATTAACACCTTGTTCCTCATCAGCATTGAAGGACCTTGGAGGAGTTCAGAGCCTACTCCAATGAGGCCTCCTCCACTAGTGGCTGGAGATGCCGCTGCAAAATTCATGGTCATGGCAAAAAGCTAACTGGCACGTACGTTGTTCAAGCAGTCAGTTGCTTAGCTGTATACTGGCACTACTGGACCAAGTTGTCTTTTTTATCGTGCTTAATTAGCCTTTCTTAACAGTTTCAAGAATTCTCCTGTAGAATTCTAGGAATAAAAACTGCTCAGGTTATACCACAAGAGAAGGCTTATTATATAAATTAGTGGATCCTTCCTCTCAACTCAAGAACATTACCTCCCATAAATTCTTAAATGCTTTGTCCAGGTTTAAACAATCTTTAAGCCTGCTCTGTTTCAGGAGTGTTATCCCATGGCCCGTTAGACTCATCTCCAGTAGGACAGCGCTTGAGTTTTAATTGCAGACATCAAATTTCACTTGGACTATTCTTCAGACCTCACTGGCAGAATACGATTCATCTTCGTTATTTCTGGGAATGAAATGAGTCTTCCTTTTGGGTACAGTGCATCAGGCAGATCATACTGAGTGAGAAGTAGTGTATATGTTGCACTGATTATTTTTTTTTTTTAGGGGCACTGAATTTTGCATGTGCTTGAGTTGAAGTTAACTGGGTGGTGTTAGTAGCTGTGAAAGTGGGTGTGTGCAGCTCATAAAGGTTCTGAGACATTTTAAAAAAATCAAGTTGAAACTTTCAAGCCATGCTTCTGAAACTGTACAAACAAGCTGTTTTACTAATGATAGCTCTAGATTTCTAACTCTTGAGCCTCCCTTAAGTCAAATAAGAAGGGGGTTTCCATCATGTGTGCTGGTCCCAAAACAAACTTGGCTGGATTTAAATGTTAAACAAAAAACGTATTAAGGGAAAGCTGAGCGTTAGATGTTGGATACTTTTCTGTGTATTAAGATTTTTCTAGTTAATGTCTTGTGTTGCTGAAGTTTGTCACTTGGAACTGTTGGCCCCTTTTATGGGTTCTGCTCTGTTCTCTCTTAAGAGAAGGTTACTGGCCCGCTTGTTCAGGTAACTCTTTAAAGGAGGGTCTCCTTTAACTCTTCGTGTGCAATTACTTTTAATGACACTCAGAAGCTGACTCTGTGACTGGAAGATATATTTTTTTTTTTTAGCTTTCCGTGAAATTGTTTGCTTAGGTGAACAGAGAAGTTAATGCCAAACCTTTTCTTGTACTAATAGCAAAAGTTGAACTTATTTTTAATGCTTGCCTTCCCATCTTCTTTAAGTGAATGGATTAGCTCTTTCTCAAACACCATAGTGTTGGGTGGGTACTATTGAAATCTTTTTTTACCTTGTCATGGTATTTCCTAATGGGCGGTGCTATTTCCTAATGGGCGGTGCTATTTCCTAATGGGCGGTGCTATTTCCTAATGAGCGGTGCTATAGATTTCATAGCAGTATTTCTTCTGGGTTGTTAAATAAAGGACAGCCATTATGTGTTCTGGCAAAGAAACGCGAAGTGTTGCATGTGAAATGGAATGGCCAAGATTAAATGACTTGTGTGTGGAGAAGACTGAAGTGCAGGGGAGAGACTGCTGAGGAGATCAATATTCAAGTAGAAAATAGGTTAATCATTTGGGGAGGAGATTAAAACATTAGGAGCTGGTTTTAGAAGACAATATGTAAGCAGCTGTAATGCAAGAAGATTTTGAAATTAAAAAAGCAATGCTTAAGTTGATAGTAGAAATACTTAACAGTAAGTATATTTATGTCCTTATGTCTATACACAGATAAATACTTAAGATTTACTTAAGTAGAAATACTTCAGAAAGGAGATGTGGCTGAAGAACCAAGCACTGTTAAACAGTAAGTGCTAGATAGTTCAGTACTAACATCAATGAACCACCCCTGCAGTGTCTTGAAAGGCACATGGTTTCAAAGAATTGCTGAGTTGTGTGGTGCTCCAAGGGGAGTTGTGATGCCAGGAGGCAAGGAAGACCCCAGATGGCCATAGCAAACACTAAAATTGTGAACACAGTTCATGTTATGGGGTTCTGTTGGTCAAATGGGACAATCTCCACTTCGATGTGTTCTGACTACTGGCATGATCGGAGTTTAAGATCACGTTTTCATAGCAGTTTGCGTTAAATTATTCATTTTAGAATTTTAAAGGCAAAACCTTGGGCCTCACCTACAACAGTTAAGTACCCTCACAGTCCTATTTAACGTACTGCTACACATGGGTCAGCAATCGGGAAATGCTCCGGAGCAAACTGTTCAGCTTTGCGCTCTCCCGTGCTGCCGTTGCTATTCCTGCGTGAGAGGCGAGGATCTTTGGATCAGTATAAGGCACTTCCTGCCCCAGCTAAATGGTGAACCAGAACAGCTGCCTAGTGAACATGTACACTGCTTCCTGTGCAACAAAAGCATATTGGTGTAGCTGTTGTGTAGATGGGACGCAGACACCTCACAGCGGTGGTGTGCTGATCAGGTTTATTGCACTGCTCTCGCGCATCTAGCACTGGATCGGGATACCGTTGTGATCGTGTTACGTATGTGCTAACCACAAAGACAATATATTGTCTTATTCAGTTAACTTATTATTCCAAACACTACGATATCCACTGTACCCAGGCCTTAGAGCAAAGGAGAAGAGAGATGGAAAATAGAGAGAAATGAAAGGAAAAAGAAAGGTTTTGATTTAGCCTCCTGATTGTGTTCTGCAGGCATCTCAGCAGAAGTTTGTAGGACAGTAAGATGTCTTTGCATGTATTTATGCGAAGCCCTCCCAGATATGTGGGAGAGCATGTAAGAAAGCATGAAGGAGCATACTGAATTTCCAGATAGGAATGTGAGCTGATTGCAGGTGGGGATCAACACATCTGTGCTGAACAAGAAACTGGTAGATCGAGAAGAGATGTTGAAGGCCAGGTTTCTCTGTGAAAGGGGTAAAGGGGACCAGGAGAGGGTAGAGATCAGGTCAGTAAAGGGATCTTTGCATCATCTTTTGAATGAATCTGAGCAGGGTGTCAAGCACTGCCACATCCTTTTCTCAGTTGTTAGGACAGAGGACAGGATGGATCAAATCTGCATGATGACATCTTTTCTGCTAATATCTGTGGTCTGGTTGAGGCAGAAGAAGGTAGAGATACAGCGTTGTAGTTGTGATCAAAGTTGATGACAGGATACAAGAAACATTATCTGGGCCAAAACCTGTATTTGAATAGAAGGCAGAATGTTAACTATCAGCACTGAAAAATCTTAATAGCTTTTTGAGATGAGATGAGAGCTTACTTGGAAGAACCAAGGGAATGTTGTTGTTTCTGTTAAAGAAAGCCTCAAACAGGCTAGTATCAGCTTTACTCTTTATTGAGCAAGTGCTCCTTTGGGTAGACTTTCTCAATGGGAAGGTCAGAGATGGATTGGGTAGGTCACAGGTGTCTGGAATGTTACTAATGAGAAAATGTAAAAAATAGTATTGTGAACTATTTCTCAAAGCAGAAGTATGATGAAAAATTGCACTTCAAGAGACTGTTCTCATAAAGAATTATGTGGAGTTCCCTCAGGAAATGGCGTTTAAACAACTGTTAGTATCACTTCTATCTCTGGGTAAACATAAGCGATTGTATTGTACACCTCAAACTTGTGTGGTAGACGTGATTATCAAATTGTCGTACAACTTCCATCTGCAAATTCAGAAATTTATTGGAAAACTTTGAATCAGATACTTTCTGTGAAAACTTCTAACTCTCTAGCTAATAGACTGGTCTTGCTTTGTTGTTTTTTTCCTTTAAATTTAATCCATATCTGGCTCTACTTCTTGATAGTTGATCCAAACATACTAAATGAAGCTATATACCATTTATACTGAAAACTAGCATAAAGGAAAACAACTGTGGATGTTTTATCAAGGCCACACTGGAGTTTTCTAAATGCACTTGTGGTTTTCTTGTGATCTGGTAGCTCTTCCAGGCAATTCAGCCTTAATTGATGTGGTTTTATAGGTATGTTTTGAAAATTATTTCGGGCAAAACCGAAATACGGAAAACACAAAATATTGTACCTACTGTATCAGATAGGTGTGCAGGTTTGTGTAATTGATGGATTTGAGTCTTTTCTCTTACACTTACTTTTGTCTTTGTTTTTACAGGAAATAATGAAAAAAGTGTGCCACAACTCTTGATCAGAGACCTGCAATTTGAGAAGAAGTCATTAGCTAAGCTCATGTTTTCTCCTGATCAAGAAAATCATCCATCAAAAGCACCAGTAAAATATGGTGAATTGATTGTATTAGGGTAAGTGTTTGTGTCTTGGTTGGAAATGAGAACGCAGGTAGAATGTCAGGGTGTGCCAACGCAGATAAAATTGCATGTTGGTGTTAGAAATGGTCCCGCAACCTCTCACTTGAACTCCTTCTGCAGCGTATCTAGTGAGCGTGCAACTGAATAGTGAGTTAATCAGCTTTTCTTTGGCAGCTGATTCCATGAGAGAGAGTGGAGGGAGGGCTACCTTTTTCAATGGCAACCAGGCATTATACCTAATGCAGTGTTTTGGAAAAACTGCACTGCAGTATGCATACTTTTTTGTGACAGTGTGAGCATGGAAGAAGGGCTCTAAACACTTGAGTAGATGCAAGCTGATTTTCACAGATTTTGTGTTCTTCCCAGGCAAGTGTTCCGTGACAAAGGCAGCCAATTTGTGAAGGGTTTCCCAATTGCTTCCAGGTTGGGCTGAGACAGATGATTAATGTGATAATGTGGAAGGAGAGGTTCCCTGGGACTTTAAAATAGAAGGAGTTTTATAAGAATGTAATAACTGACTATAATATCCAAGTGCAAACAGAAGATGTTAATAGAGCAGTTTGCTGGCTGGCCTGTTTGTTTTAACATGGTCAAAGTGAGGGTCTGAGGGTTTTCTATTGGATTAAATTGGAGTCTCGGAGAACAGCGTATCTATTTCTTATGGGTTTTTATTTCGATCAAAATTCTCTAAAATACTAGCTCTCCACTAGAGTTGGTGAGTATTTAGAATCTTTCACTTACAGTGTGAACACATCATTTAGAGATAAAGCTACAGACAGGCATTTGACCTTGCTTTCATGTTTGGGACACAAGTCTTTTTTGCTTTTCGAAAGCAAAGGAGCTTTGAGATTAATCTGGGTAGCATTCCTTGGCCTACAAGCTTTGTGTGTATACGCCGTAATTCTGTGGGCATGTTTCAATATTGTGTTTATCAATTCTCAGACTTAAATAGATGTGATTAATTGGAAATCTGTAATTATTAATACCATACTGATTAAGAAGACTTTGTGCTTAAAATGAAAGTTCTTGTGGGTCTGTATCTCGTGGTAAGCTAAGTAATACAGGAAGATGGACTTTGTTCTTTTTCTGTGCTTTTTGCTAGGTACAATGGGTCTCTCCCAAATGGAGATAGAGGAAGAAGAAAAAGTAGATTTGCTTTATTTAAAAGGCCCAAGGCAAATGGGGTGAAACCCAGCACTGTGCATATTGCCTGTACCCCTCAAGCAGCAAAGGTAAGCTCAATTTGTCTAGTTAAAGTCTTATTTCTCCTGGTGCTGTCTAAATAGAGTTCAGTGACTGAAGTCAGTGCTGTTATGCTGAGGTGAAACGATGTAAAAAGCAGGAAGTGTTGGCTGTGAAAAGAATGATTCATGTTTACCCAAGGTTTTTTGGTACCTGTCAGGGTTAGCAAGAAACCATTCAGCAAAACAAATGTGGTGTCCAGTCCTTGCTGTGTCCAGAAAGAAAAATGTTTCTTTTTGAAACATGAATGGTCAGGGCACAGGCTAGTCATGTAAAACGCTTTGTTTTGTTTTCCTTCCAAACTCATTGCAGACATCTGTTCTAGCATTCCTGTTTTTGCACTCATTCATGCTTTAGGGCTAACTTTGCTCCGTGTGAAGCTGACTTTGACATGGTCCTTTGCCAAAGCTCTGTGTGCACTTGCCGCTCAGTGCAATGGGTAGGAGTTCCACAGGGATGAGGACAGGTGGGTTTTGCAGGGCACGTTTTTATATGGCTTGTAGTCAAGTTCAGAGGTCCTGTTGAGAAGCAGTAAAGGAAGGGCTCAGGTCCTTAAATTGAATTGTATTTCATGACAAAACTGTTATATTGTAGTGAAGGTATTACCATGAAATACTCCTGTATTGTGGCAATCCAAGTGTGTGTGCACTTATGTTTGATAAGAAATGGAGCGTTTCTACTAAACCAATGGGATTTGAGAATGCTTAGTGGTTGTTCAGAAAAGTTCTCCAGTGCGGAGATCAGGCCCTTGAACAAATATCATAGTGTTGTTTGACTCTCTCAATACATTGACACTTAAGAATACTGATTCCTAAATATACGGAATGGCATAAAATGTTCTGATATCAAAAGTACATTGCTAACCAAAGTTATTATAATAGAATTATATCTATGGGAGATCTGTGAAAAGAAAATTCTTTTTGCCAATTATTTATGGTTTTTCAAGAACGTGCTATTTAGAAGCGCTTTTAGAAGAGTATTTGTTCAGTCCCTAATGGGTAGTTGCAGAATGAAAAATCTAGACTAACAAACTGAAACCTAGATTAGTTCACTACAACTTTTGCAATCTTTGCTGAGTTTTCTCTGGTTTACCCTGTTTACCACCACCCTGTTGAGTTTTTCGTCTACGTATGTTGTTAATCGTCACTGATTTTTAGTATCAACTTGGATCCAGTTTTTAGAGCGAAGTCCCTAAGTTTTTGTCCTTGCTTTGCTGTTGAAGGTTCAGGCTGAAAAGGCCATGAAGGTGTTATATTCAGTTTCAGCCTTTGCACTCAGTTGTTTTGTTCTTTTGTGTCAAGGCCAGCATTGCTTTAACACAAAACATGACTAATAGTATGTCTTGGTTACATATATTTCGTTGCAGTGTGCAGTAAAGAGACCAGTTTGGTCTGTTGCCGAATCAATCCTGCAGCTTTTTTTAATGGCCAGGACTGTTTTTTGTGTAATTTAACTATAGGTGTGTCACTAACAACCATCTACCTTAATGCATTAATTGAGCAGAACAAGAGCCTGGTGTGTATATATATGTGTGTGTGTGTATATATATATATATAGTCTGCTTTGCTGCTGTTATTCAGTAGAATTATTGTTCACTGGTTCAATAATATTTGACCTTTTTTTCACAGGCAATAAGTAACAAGGACCAACACAGCATCTCGTACACTTTGTCTCGGGCCCAGACAGTAGTAGTTGAATATACACATGACAGCAACACAGATATGTTCCAGGTATGCGAAGTAAATATGAGTTATAAATGTATTCTCACTTTTGGTGATTTCTAACAAGGCATTCTCTCAACAGGCTTCTTCCGTCAGACCCAAAAGTTTGCATGTGTCACTTTCTGTGCTTTACTGTTCAGAGATGTTCAATTCTGTTCATTCCTGAGGCCATCACATGAACAAGGCTGTGTATCTGTGTTTGGTCGGAGGTGAAAGTTGGGGTTTTTTTGTGACTAATACACAGGGTTATGGTTTTGCCTTTGCTGGTCTGTAAGTCACGTAACCTGTCTCCTAGTCTCTTATTGCAAAATGAAAAATAAAGTGCACTGTTCCCTTCGAGCACTTGGAACATTGCTTCTAGCATTTATGAAGTGATTTGGGATCAGCCAGTTGAAGATGGGATAGAAGAAATACAATGTGAAAATACAGGAAAGCTTTTGACACAACTAACATGAAAAATATCTCTAACTCCTTTAAGCAAACCCAGAAACCTGGTGTAGTGAAGGGTTTCCCTGCCTATGGCAGGGGGGTTGGAACTAGATGATCTTCGAGGTCCTTTCCAACCCAAACCATTCTATGATTCTATTCTATGATTCGATGAAATAAGTCTAAAAGTGATGGAAAATGTGGGGAGAGGAGGCCCAGCTCTGATGTGCTGGCAGTTCAGAGCAACTTTGCTGCGGTTCCTGTATGTATGAGAACGAACCGCAAACACATTTGCAGCTGTGGTGTGCGCTCGTATCTTGTAATTGTTTCCTGTTTTTCTCAAAAGGAAGGATTTTGTTTTGTTTTGTTTTTTTCGTGTGCTTTGTTTCTTCTGATTTCTGGACTGATGTTGTGTTGATTTTTTTTTTTTTTTTTTTTGTCACTAATTTATGGCAAGGAGATTTGCTGTCACAGCATTTAGCTGTGACGCCACTGCAGGATCTAAGGAGGTGGAAGGTGTTGGTAAGTGGTAGAGGAAGCTGCTATGCAACTGTAAATACCTACAACAGAGCAAAAGGGCTGTAATAAACTAACTGCAGCAGAAGCCATTGTGTCAGAGTTCTCTCTTCAGGCATGCTGTGGCATGTACACTGCCCTAAAACTGCCGGTGGCGACCCATGTGTTCTGATGGGTTAGCCTGCCCAAGAAGCAATGGAAAAATACATTCTGACAAAGCAGTTTCAGTCTCATGAAAGCTTTCCGTCAAGCCTTCACCAAAATCCACCTCAGGCTTTTGGGTCTGCTGCCCAGCAGTTAATCAGTCTTAATATAAGCAGCTATTTCCTAAGACGCTGTTGAGAGCTCTGGAAGTGAGTGAAAGGTGTTAGTGTGTAAGTGGGCTTTAAACCTGGCCACATGGATGTTTGGGAGAGGGATATAACTTCTCTTCATGCTTTATAAGGAAAAGGACAAGATGAATTGACTGGAAAAGCAGTCAAACTCATGCAATTCTATCAAACCTGATAGAGCTGTGTGGGACTGCAAAACTCAATTCTTCCATGCAATCAGAAAACGAGGCACAGCTGCTAGAAAAATCTGGTTGTAGTCAGAAGTTGTATTCCTGTTGTGTCCTGTGCACAGCAATGTAATGCCTCTCTGCTACAAACATCTCGTACCTGGTGTTTCCTGAGAGATTCGCTCCTTCTCAGTGCCACACTGCTGTTGGAGAGTCAGCTCACTTCCTCGAGTTTCCCTACATCTTCACCTCCAGCTAGTCTGGCATTGTTCAGAATGTTCTGAGCATGCAAAGTGACTGAATGCCACTTTTCCTTATCTAACTGTAGTTTTTTAGCTGTTTTGGAGCTTCTGCAGCTGGTCCAGCTGACCTGAGTGTAACCTTTCTGATGAGAACGCCTTCAATGGGAAGTTGTCTCAGAATTGACTTAATTACATCATTTTATTTCTCCTTCCTTCGGTTGGCAGTACTCAGCCTTCAAAATAACTCTGATCACATGGAGGTGGAATAACTCATCAATTCAGAGTAGGCTTTAGAAACCTAAATTTAGATTGGTGAAGGGGAATGCTTCAAACTGGAACATCATGATTTTTTTCTTGATCACTTTTAAATGCTTTGAGTTGAATGTTCCTAGGCCCAAAGGCAAACTTCCAAACAGGTGTGATTGACTTTTTTTTTTTTAAATCTCTTTCCAGATTGGTCGGTCAACAGAGAGTCCTATAGACTTTGTTGTGACAGATACAGTTCCTGGAAGTCAGAGTAATTCAGATACACAGTCCGTGCAGAGCACTATATCAAGGTTTGCCTGCAGAATCATATGTGAACGTAACCCTCCTTTTACAGCAAGAATATATGCTGCAGGATTTGACTCCTCAAAAAATATCTTTCTTGGGGTAAGGAGACTCTTTCTTTTTCCTTCGGAGTTCAGTGCAGGCTTATTTTTAAGGTAATTCGTAGCTCCGCTTCAGCCAAATTAAAAGTTTTCATTGGTACAACTTCTCTTAGGAGAAAGCTGCGAAGTGGAAGACATCAGATGGGCAAATGGATGGACTAACCACAAATGGAGTTCTTGTTATGCATCCCCGTAATGGATTTACAGAAGACTCCAAGCCAGGGGTGTGGAGAGAGATATCTGTGTGTGGGAACGTGTTCAGCCTCCGTGAAACGAGATCAGCTCAGCAGAGGGGGAAAATGGTAAGAGTAGTGACCAATGTTTTATGCAGCCTGTTCAAAATGGGTACAACCATAAGTGGTACAGCTTGGGCGTAAACAGAGGCTGGAATCTGCTCCATTCAGTGTAGAAGTCACCCCCATAATTAGCTGTGCTGACTTTTTGTATGTCTGTGCTCACACATGAAGGTGTCTTGCTCAACTTGAATAACTGATGGAGTTTATCTGCAAACTAGTGCTTAGCTGCAGATCCTAGACTGCTTTGCGAAACTGAGTCGCCAGTCTGCTATGCTCTTCTGCAAACTCAGTCATGCGCACGTTTTAAAGAGTACTTTCCTGATTCTGCTTCTTGAGTTTATGCTTTTAAAGTTTTCCTGCTTTTCCTTTTTTGTAGAATAATAAAGAATAGTTGTAGTTTTATTGACACATGCCTGTATACCTGGATATCCATTTCCATCTTGGCATTCTGAGTTTTCCTCTTGTTTCCAAAGCATTGGTGACGTTTCCAGGAGATGATTGGTTTTGTTATGACTTGAGATCTCTTAGGAAAAAGAAATGCTACATGAACACTTAAGTGATGCATTTAGCTAGGAATGCTGACAGCTGATTTTTTTTCTAGAGGAGAGGAAAGCCATGTATAAAGTTGTGTTTGAAGAAAACAGTCTAAAACGTGATGGAAGACTAAACAAGACTTGTCTTGTGCCGTTCTTCCTTGATGTTTTTCAAGTAACATCATTTGGATTGTGTCATGGTTTAACCCCAGCCAAAACGAAGTACCATGCAGCTGCTTGCTTACTTCTCCCCCCTCAATGGGATGGGGAGGAGAATT